ATTTAACAGACAGCACCTAGTGTACCAATTATATTCCTTACTATATAAAATAACCTCCACATAAAGGACACCTCTGTATAACAAACTTTTTTGTCCACAAGTCTTTCTTATATTAAGGCTACACTGTACATGTACATATACATCTAGGCAGAGTATGTGTAATTAATCCTTTCTCTCTAATCGTAGGTAATTATGGTAACAAGCTGGACGAGAATGTCCCTGCTCAAGCCTCAACGACTCCTCCCTCTAATCCTGTTTATGACGGGAATGCGTATTATTATTTGCCGTGGACCCAGCAGAAGCCCTGTGTGGTCATCGATAGCCAGTGGGAGGACGTTTCGTTCAGGATTGCAACACAGAATATTTTGTTACATATTGCTGATAAACTGGTGTGTGTGTGGAAGAGAGAGAGAAGGCATTTTTGTAGCATAATTAATGCACTTAATGATACAGTATTTAAAGTTACTCAAAAATTGGGTCAAAGTCCCTGTTGGCCAAATTTTGCCAAAAATATCTAAAAAAAATTCTAAGTTTTTATTACATTTTTTGATGCATATACATGTTCTTATGTTGTGTAGCAAGTTTGAGCTGATTCCAATTAAATTTGGATTTTTTACAAATTTTTAAAGTTACTCAAAAATTGGGCCAAAGTCCCTGTACTATAGTACAGTGTCGTTGGCCAAATTTCACTTGTCACTGATGAGTATATGGAGACAATTGTACATGCATTCTGATACATAATTTTACCTTATTATTATTACTATATTATTTATTATTATTATTATTATTATTATTTATTATTATTATTATTATTATCATTATTATTTAGAATACTGGCTTGCAAGAAGTCCAGATTAAGATGACACATGAGAAGTATGACCACAATGAGTGCAGAGACATCTTGCTGACTGCTCTACAAGATGCACTGGAAGACATCGAGTAAGTTATACTGATATTCCTGCAACTAGTATATTAATTTATAAAATTTTATAGTGATAATGTTGTTTTCTTTTTCAAAGGCATGGAATTCCTGATCTTCCTCCTACAGGATTTACACAGCTTGACAAATACAGGCACAAGTCCCGCTTAGAAGAACTTGTAAGTTGTCCACCATCTCTTCTACATACATGTGCATGTACAGTGTATATGCATATATAATTCTTCAATTTCTTTCGTATAATTTCATTCTATACGATTCCACCATCTCTTTATCTCTCAGGGTTTAATGCTAGGAGAGGCTAAGCAGTTGTTGACAACCCCCGAGGGGACTCCGGTCGAAAACCTCACACTACAACCTGTCATGGACTTGGTGGAAGAGTTTCATTCAAGACTCAAGACACTTGCTGTAGAGGTGAGAGAGAGAGAGAGAGAGAGAAAGAAAGGGAGAGAGAGAGAGGGACGCAGGGAGGCAGAGAGCTAGAGAGAGAGAAATTTACTTTATTTTTTATTAAATGCATTGTACATGCATACATAGCCTCAAAACTGTATTCCTGATGTTATTGTTTGGATGCTCTCTGGGTACAAGAGGGTCGCCTTTGCAAGGATACCGTCCAGTCAACTCATGTATTTAGAAAAGCTAAAGAAA